GTCCATAGTTGGCTGGCCCCAAGGCAGGGTGGCACATGACAGAGGGACACTGCAGAGGAGGAACAGTTCATGGCAGGCAGAAGGTAGCAAACCAAGCAAGAGACCTTAGCAACTTGCCCCTTACGTATGCTATCTAGGCGACTGGGATTAGGACAGTGCCAACCCAATCAGTGGAGGGATTTAGCAATCACACACTTTTAATTCTAGCATCCCAGTTTAGATTTAACCACCTCTGAAAAAGCCCCACTTAGGACTGCACAAGGGTTTGAGAGGGCATCTAGACACAAGACCACAGTGCCATTGGAACAAAGCTTCTGTCTGTCTGAAATTTAGAGCTAAGCCATGAAAGCTTGGACCACAGTTGCCCTGCAGCTAATATCTTATATGAACAGTAAATAAGCACCTCAAAAGCTAAGCCCGATGTCATTTGTTATACAGCATGACCGTAGCAAAAGCTAACTGATACATACTATGTGTTATGAGTTATGTCTACATGTCCCCCTAAAGCCTCGCACACTCATACTTAAGGCTTTGAGGAGGTAAATGACTGGATCATGGGGTCATGATAATCTTCAGTGGGTTCATCTACTGATGAGTTTTTGAAGCTAAATGTGACATTCAGAGGTGAAGATGCCCAAAGAAGGCGGGTCACTGGGGCAGTGTCCTGGAAGGGCATAGTTCCCTGTGCCATTTCTTCCTTCAAGCTGTCTGCTTTCCCACCTCCACACCATGATCAGCTTTCCTCGGCTCTTCTCTACCATGTGCCTCTGCCATAGTAGTGGACGGGGGACTAAAACTTCAACAAACTATGACCTGAAGAAGAACACCTCTCCTCTTCTGAGTTCTGGGTGTTGGGTATTTTGTCTGAGCAACAAGAAAAGTGGCTAAGACAATGCCAGCGATGAGAGGTGATTCTTCACACATGATAAAGGAAGTTGCGATGAAGGGGGATCGAAGAAAGTTTCTGTTGATGAATTTCATCTTCCTTCACTCACTGGTCTCAGAGGTGGAGACACCCTGCTTACTTCAAAGTCCCAATTCCATGTAACCTCCTGTTCCTCTTAGTGCCTAGCTCTATCCATCATCCTTTCCCTCCCCTGGACTAAATCCTTCCTGGAATCCACATGCTTCACCAGTCCTTCCATCCTAAAATCTCTTCCTTCACCCTGTCTCCCTGCACCACCCTATGGCTCAATCTTTCTTCTAACCTTTTCAGATAAACTGAAAACCATTGACTATGCTCACAGTCTCCGCTTCTCCACCATCACCTACCCAGGTGATCGGGTTTGCTTGTCTTTTGCTCTACCCAAACTGCCCTTGCTATATTTTGATGACCTCCTAATTGCCCAATGCAACTCCCAGTGCTTATTTCAACTCAATTCATGGTCTCTCCCATCCCAACATTCCTCCTTCTTTATCCTCTCAGTGACATCATCACTCATCCAGTGACCCTTGACCTCAAGCCACCATGAGACCATGAAGTCTATCTGGACTTGAGTTTGAAGTGTCTTGAGACACCCAAGCAATGATGCCTACTGGGCAGTTACACATGTGAGCTGGGAGCCCAAAATTGGACATAAGATGAAAGCTATTCGAATCATATTTAGGGCCAGTAAGATAGCTCAGTGGACCGAATGCCTGCGTAGGCAAGAGTAGGGACCCAGGTTTCACCTCCAGCACCATATGCCACACTGGCTGCCCCTGGGCACGCTAAGTCAGCGACCAAGACCGGACATGGTGGTGCATGCCTGTCATCCCAGTGCTGGAGAGGCTGAAAACAGGAGCAGTACCAGAAGTCCGAGCTTCAGACATTAATAAATAAGTAAATAAAAATTAAAAAAAAATAAAAATAAAGTCATATTTAAACCCATGAATATTCTTGAACTTTCCCAGTTTATAAAATATAAGTACTAAGCCTACAAATTCCATTTCACACACTCAGACTTCTTCTGAATGCAGAAATCCCTATTCCTAAGGGATCTAACTGCCATTTGCTTTCTTCCCTGCTAAACAGTGGTCCACACCACCACCTTGTTTCATAGATTTGCCCCTGTTCATATTGCCTTTTCCAAAAGCCAAAATTTAATCCTAAAAAATAGAATGTCCAAATCACAACGAGATACCACCAACCAGCCAATAAAATGCCTACAATCAAAAGGACCATCAAAGCAAATACTGTCAAGGTATGGAACAAATGTAGCTCTCACGAACTGCTTCGGGAATGAATGTGAAACGGCAGTTTCACGGCTAGTAGGAAACCACTGTTCTCAAAAGACTTGGACAAGAATGTTCATGTAAGGAGCTGGGGATATAGCTCAGCAGCATAGCACCTGCCTGGCAAGCATGAGGCCCTGAGTTCAATTCACAGTACCCATCTCCGTCAAAAAAGAATGCTCACGTAATAGCCCCAAATTGGAAGTAACCCAAATATTAATAGGAAAGAAGCTAGGAATTGTTGTACATCCGTGTAACGGAATATGACTTGACAACAAAGAACAAATGACTCAGACACAGTGCAGATGAATCTCAGAACCTTAAGTTGAGTGAAATAAGCCAACCATAAAAGAGTGATTTGCCTCTGTACATAGAATCACACAATGTGATTCTATGTACAGAGGCAAATATTGCTCAGAGGATGATATAATCAGAAAATGGGTGCTTGGGTGGGTACAGTAGAAGGCAAATTAATTTGAAATGTTAATTTTCTAGAGTGATATAAATATTACATGTCTCATGGGGTGGGGGAAGCTGGTTACCCAGGATAAAGCAACAAACCAAACTCACTGAGCCAAGCAAACATTGAAGATTTGTGGATTTTAGTCTATGGAAATTATATCTTAAAGAAAATAGGAAAAAAATAAATTTAAGCATCTATAAAATAAGCACTAAAATACAGGCAGAAAACACATTCATTTCAAACAGAAGCATACTTCTATTACAAAAGCACCTGTATAAAGCCCGTCCCCCCCACTTCATTCATCTCCTTTCAGCTCTTCCCACCCCCTCTCCATGAGGCCCATCATTAGACTGATGAGAGACGCTGAAAAGGAAAGAGCACAAGCAGTCGAGCCAGGCAAATGCATTCAAATCCTAGCTGCAATTTACAGCTGAGTGCCCATGAGTCAGGTACTTGGCCTCTCTAAACTTTTGCTTCCTCAGCTGTAAAATGGGTTAGTGAGACCTAGCCTATGCCCTTAGGCTAGGAATCCCGTAACCCCAAATCACTCTAAGTAAGGTCCAGAAGTGTTCAGAGAATGACATTCAGCAGGCTTCTTCTCCTAGAGGTAAGAAGGCACTCTGGGCTCTGGAGTTACAGTGTAGGTGAGTGCTAACAGGTAGGAAAAGCAGCTCAGAGCTGCCTGGCCAGGAAAGGTCACTCTTGGCCTCACACTCTGGAGACAGGTTCCTGGCCGCTAGAAGACCTTACCTTAATTGCTCTGCACTGCTCTGAACGGAGCCACTCCACCAAAAATAGCCAGATTAAGCTGGGCTCAGGGAGTATGCAAAGCATCCTGTGGGGGTTCCACAGATAAGGAAGAGATAAAGGTAGAACTGAACTGCAGAGGCCAGGGCCCTGGCTTCTGGCTTCTAGGTGCTCTGCCCCTGCCATGGTGGCTCTGAAGCCAGGATACCATGCCTCCTGGGACATGGTTTGAAGTCTCTTAGAAGAGGAAATCCTCAGGGACACTTTCAGTTCTGCCTTGGACAGTCACTGAACATCTGTTACTTGTAACAGAGAGCACTTGGACCTGCATCCCTCCCTCATCTTGTGGGGAAGGCAAGAGACAACCAGAAAGAGCTCCAAAGAAGGTAGAAAGTACTTAGAGCAGCCACAAAGCGGAGGTTAGCCATAGCCTCCACACCCTCCCCTTGTGGCCCTGGCCGCTGGCAGTGCACTTTACATTTGCTTACTCGGGAGCATGTCGCCAATAGTATTCTTACTTTGCGAGCCAGGAACCTGAGGATCTCCCTGGAAAAAGATCCCCCAGCTGGGAAGCCCTAGACCAGGCCTCTACCCTGCATCTGCAGGGCAAAACACCCCTACCTATTACCAGGTAAACGAAGGAGGCACTCAGGCCTGCTCTAGAGGCAGAAGGTGTGCAAACCACTGCAGAGAGAGAGAGAGAGAGAGAGAGAGAGAGAGAGAGAGAGAGAGAGAGAGAGAGAGACCTGGGTCTTAGTTCCTTCCTGGGGGGAGGAGCGGCCAGATACCCTGGGGCCTCTTCTCCCGCCCACAACAGGAGGGAAAATCGGGGAATCTCAAGTGGCTGGGTTTCCTCTCTTTTTGGCGCTGCCCCCCACCTTTTTCTGTTACTTGGATGTTATTCAGAGTTTGTGCAATCCTTTACTTTGGCGGTCTTCCTGCCATTTTCTAACGCAGAGGGGTGTCCTGAGTGGGAATGAGATGAATTGAAAAGTTGAGGGACCTTCCCCCCCCCCCATTTCCCCAAGTGACGACACGCACGACCTGCACTTGGGCTGCGGGGAGTTACAGCGCCCGAAACGTTCCCCGCTGGGGCCCGAGCGGTGGTCGGTTCGGCTCTCCGACAGCTCTGCTCTGGCTGCCCCGTGCTGTCACGGTGCACCCCAGCTCCAGCTCTGCACTCCCTGCGCCAGCGCTTCGCACACTGTAGTCCCGCCCCACATCCTCGATGGCTCCCCTGCCTTTCCAGACTTGCTCTCCTGCTGGACCAGCTGAGAACCCCTGCTGGCCCGGTCCCCACCCTGCAGGAGCCACGGGGTAGGGGACACTTGAACCCCCAGCCCCGCAGGCCTGAGTCTGGAATGCTGGACAGAGGCGCGACCGGTGCAGGATGGGGTCAGAGACTGGGTCAGCTCTGAGGACAGAGGAAACGCTGCCAGAACAAAAGCAGAGGCGCAGGCAGGGCAGACGCGGGGCACCGCTGGAGCAGTGGCCTGAGGCTCCCCTGGCCACCCGCGCCGCCCACGAAGCCCCTCCGCCCGGTGCCCGCCTCCCCACGCGCGGCCTCGGGACCCACCTGATCCGCAGAACCCGGGCGCCAGAGCGCTGGGGGCCGGACAGCGCCTGGACTCTGCTGACCGTGGCAGACTCACGGGAGCCCTCGGGAGGCTGTGCCGGGCGTGCAGGGCGGGGTGCTCCTGCCCTTCCCGCGGGACCGCGGCCGGCCGGGCGCCTCCTCCGCGCAGCGCGCAGCGGGCAGCGGCCAGCGGCGTGAGTGAGCGGCGTGTGCTGGACACAGCGGGCGGTGCCTGGGGCCCCGCCTGGGTCGCGGCGGTGGGTGCCGAGCCCGTCCCCTCCCCGACCCCGGCCGCGGGTGCGCAAGTGCTGTGCGCGCGCATGTGTGTGTCTGGGTGGTGAGGAGGGGGTGATGTTTGTTTCATTTTCACTCAGGCAGAAGAAAGCCTGAAACCAACAAAAAAGAAAATAGTGGCTAGGTTTCTTGCCTTCTCTAGGTCCCACACGTGGGGACAGTGGTGACAGAGGACAGGAGGGAAGGGTGCGGTCTGTTGTGTTTGTTTCCAGGAGGGAAGATGGGGCCCTAGATCTTGCTGGGATTCCCCCCAGCCCTAGTTGAGTTCCGGAAGTGAGGGGCACGCACCAGCCCTCAGGAGTGTTAGAGACCGAAGTTCTCCAGCAGGGCTCCCCACAGCCTCCGGCATTCTCTTCTAGACTTCTTTAGAGAAGAATCAAAAACAATTTTTAAAAATCTATTTCCAAGTTTGGATTTCTGTGTCTAGGGTGACAGCGATTCACTCCTAGTAAGTTGTCCTCTTTTGGTTTGACCTACACTAAAAGACAATGGCCTCCTTTGGGCTCACGTGGCTTTGTTTTCCTGGTGGAAATGGAATGATAAAGGTTTGTTTGGCTACTGGATATTGTTTTCATAAACCAGGAAATTAGCTTCTTAGTTAATTGAATATGTTGGAACTGTAATTTGTCAGACCAGCCAGGTGTTGGCACAGAAGTTGAGAGAATGACGTTTCCTGGTGGGTCTCAGGAGGTGAAGTGGAGGGACAGTGAATTATCGGCCTGCACAGCAGCTCAAGAATGAGGAGTTCCAAACGGCCCGGCACAAAGGGCCTTTGCTAGAGGATAAATTGCACCATTATTATCCCCAGTGAGCACGCTCGCGATCGTTCATTAGCAGTGAGCACCGCAATGAGTGATGGTTTGCTAAGTGCATTATTTTCCCCTTCCCATTCTGCACTGAGAATGCGTTGTTCAAATGGCGAGTCCGCCGACGTGGATTATAATTCTTTGAGAACAAGAAAATCATGAGAATGAATGTGGCTCAGATGGTGATTTTCGGTGATCAAAAGATGTCAACCTCAAACATCGCTCTGCTACTTTAAGCCCAGTAAAATTGATTTTATGGTTCTGTTTGGGTTCACTCTGAAGACTTGGTTTAGTTTTATGGTTGCTTGATAAGCGATGAGCATGAGAAGCTCATGTGTAATTTTAGATTCAGACCTACTTTAGTAAAAAGAAAATAAGAATAATGAGTCACCACTCTGAGTCTGTTAGGTTTTCTTTTTTCCTTTTGAAAGGAGGCATTTGTTTCTGAAAATAAAACTAACAAGTCTACTGACTGAATGTCTGAGCTGTAACATACCTGGAAAATTATACACTAGATCATACATAGTGTGGGTTAGGGGTCAAGAGCTCTAGGTTCAAGGCCTTGGGTGAGTCATTCTGCCCTTTTAAGACTCATTTGCCGCATATGCAAAATTGGGGTAAGATGACCTGTGTGCAAGAGAAAAGGAATAAAGATGAGATAATTTCAGGGAAGTTTTCTTGAAGATCCTGGCATCACAGGCAGATGAGGCAGAAATTCCGGTAGCAGAGAGGTGGACTGGGCAGATGCGGAGGAGCCTTGACCCCTGGATGCATGCAGTGCCTTACACTTCTTTCACTCGGCTAGTCCTCGGCGTGGCCTACCAGGTGGATATGACTTACATTCCCTGCTCCAATGAAGAAAGGAAGGGCGCGGGGAAATCAAATAACTTTGTTTGCCATCTCTCTAGGGACGGCCAAATGCCCGAGACCAGATGCCCTTATCCTTTCTTCTTGCTTCTAACAAATGTTTGTGGAAGCCTGTGTTCTTTTTCTATCACTGTGACAAAGTACCTGACATAAATCAACCTTCAGGAGGAAAGGGTTATTTTGGTTCACAGTTTCAGAGGCTTTAGTCAGTGGCTAGCTAGATTCATTACCTCACGGCTCAAATACCTGGTGGAGCAGCCACGAAGCAGAGAGACAGGAAAAGCGCGAAAGATAGAAAGGGGAGGGGATTAGAAGCAGTTCCTGAGGTCACGGCCCTGTGGTCCACCTCCTTCAACAAGGCCCACCTTGTTTCTCACGCCTCTCTAAGGTGCCAAACAACATGAGCTTATCAGTGGGTTGCTGCATGATGAAGTTAGAGCCTTCGTGGTCCTCGTGGTCCTCGTCACCTCTCCCCAAAGTCCGTCTGCTGGCACCCAAGCTTTAGTATGAGCGTCTGGGGGAGACATTACAAACCCAAGCTGTTACAGGACCTTCCATATCTGTCATGCTGAGGAGGACACCATGGAGAACAATGCACCCAGCGCCATAGTCCAGGCAGATCAGTAGGAGGTAAAGAGCAAACCAAAAAAGATCCAACTCACTGTGTCAGGATCACCGTGATCAGGCCTCAGAAGGACCCACGGGGTGCAGGGGTCTGGGCAATGGGTAGGCTTAGACCCAAGAGAGGGGTGAGCTGGGGGTGGGGGGTGCCAGTGGTCAAAACAACGCTATGCAAAGTCTTGGCTTGGGAGAAGAAAGGTTTGTGAGAGTACAGGGAGGTTTCGCCCTCACGAAGGCAGCAACCCTCCTCAGAGCAACTATAAATGCTAAATGTATCTCAGTATAGTTTTTTTTTTTTTTTTTTTTTTTTTTGTTATTGTTGTTTTGGTGGAACTGGGGATTGAACTCAGACTCTTGCGCTTGCCAAGGAAGCGCTTATTCCACTGAGCCATCTCCCTGGCTCAGTATAGGTTTTGTGGAACTTAATGAACTGCCCCTCAACTTCATGTGGAAGACTGAAGGGCCCAAGTTAACTGAAACAGTTTTGACATGGCATAAAGGAAGAGAGAACACTTGCTCAATCAGTTATCAGAATGTACCAGGAGGCAGTAAGGATTAAGGCGGTGCTCTGGTCTCATTTTATTGGAAGGGAGCCTGTGGTAGAAACCGCCATGGACACCGAAAACTACAGATACCTGGACCCAACTTCTGGTGCTTCGGGTTAGAAGTTTTGTACTTTACAATGCTGTAAAGTGTGTGCACCCTCCTTTTCACTGTAATTATATGTAACTAGATTTATCAGTAGTTACTAATAACTGTAATTATCAGTAGTTACATGTGCAACTACATGTGTAGTTAACAGTTCAACACTGTTATAATTTAGAACTGAAATATTCCCCTGAAGTTTCATGTGGTCAGAGGTGGGGCTTTCAGATGGGATGGGTGGGCCATATTCATCCATAGATTAAACTGTTGATGAGTTCATTGCCAATGGTGCCATTAGGAGGCAGAGGCAGGCTGGAGAAGGGGGGCCCTGGTGTGCGCCTCTGGGGAGCATGGCGCTCCCCCCCCACTTCCTGGCTATAATAGGCTTCTTTTCTCATGCCCTTCAGCAATCCTGATTCTGCACTGAAGCCCTATGACTAAGCGTGAAACCCCTAAACCATGAGCCAACTAGACCTCTCCTCCTATAACTCTTGAATGCCAGCTACTTTGTCCCAGCTACAGGAAGATTGACTACTGCCAACAAATTACTATAAAATAGGCTTTGTGTCAAATTTCCAACTCTTGGTTTATAGAAGTGTGTACTGAGCACATTTAGGTTAGGCCAGGCTAAGCGATGATGTTCAGCAGGTAAGGGGTGTTAAGTGCATTTTTTACTTAAAATATTTTCCACTAGCAGTGAGTTTATTGGGCTGAGAACCATCATAAGGCAAGAGGCAGCTACGTGTAGCACTATGGTTTTTTCTGTACATGTATACATCTCTGCTACAATAAAGCTCATTTAATAAGTTAGGCTCAGTAAGAAAATCCACAATCACTAATCATGAAGTAGGTCGACTATAACAATGTATTGAAATACAAGTTACTGACAACTTATGAATTATTTATCTCTGAAATTTTACATCTAATATTTTTCAGTGTGAGGCAGACTGTGGATAATTAAAAATTCAGAAGGTGAAAAAGCAAGGCTAAGTGGGGACTACTGTATAGCGTTGGTGCTAGGATGGCTCATTAGGCCCACGGACACGAATAAGGGTCCGAGAAAGAGACCCACGTGTGTGGAAGCTGGGTTGGTGACAGAGGTGGAATAACAGCGCGGTGGGGGACAGAACAGATCATTCAGTAAGTGTTGCTGGCACCTGAAAGAATTGAAAGCAGGGAGCAAACAAAAACCTGTGTAGGAATGTTTAGGGCATCGCGGCTCCCGATAGCAGAAAGTGAGTCAGATATCCGTCAGCTGAGGCCTGGATAGACAAAACGTAGTCGAGCCCCGCAATGGAATATCACAGCCTCAAAAGGAATGAAGTATTGATTCATGCTGCAACACGGGGAGCTTTGAAATATTACATTAGGGGAAAGCCAGACAAGGAGGGCTATATACTGTATAACTCTCTATATATGAAATATTCCAACTAGGCAAATTCATAAAGGCAGAAAGCAGCCAAGAGGCTGCCAGGGTCTGGGAGTTGGAAAGAGAAAGAGACAGCTTAGTGGGTTTAGAGTTTCCTTTTGAGTTCATGGCTAATGCTCTGGAACTGGATGGTGGGAATGGTTACACAATACCAAGAATGTTCTAAATGCCACTGGATTACACATTTTAAAATGATTTAGCTACTTTGAATATGACTTTATGCTACACAAATTGTACCACCATTCAAAAACATATTGCTGGGAAATTGGCTACTCATACAGAAATACAAAATAAAAACAGATTTCTCCCACAAACACTCCGTGTAATAGTAAGTATATAATAGTAAGTTAAAGGCTGAAAGGCAAAGAGCAACTTGAAAACTTTTAGAAGAAAATATCCTTATATCTCACAAGGGTAAGTGTATAGATACTGCCCATGAAGAAAAGTATGGATCAATGCCAATATCCACATTAAAATGCTACATATCCAGAAAAGACAGGTCAGCAAATTAATAGACAAACTCAGAGATTGAGAGA